TCTTTCTCCTCTGAGCACACGATCATACTTTTCCCTCAAAATTTTTCATCTCCGGCCACTTCAATATTCCATCTCCCTCGTCGCCATCGTTCCAAAAACCAAGGCTTCTTCAAGCTCGGCCCTTGACCTCTGTCTCCGTGAAGCGTGAAGTGCCCACCGTCGTCGGCCATCATCTCCGGGAAGCTTGCCCCTCCGTCGTCGGCCATCGAGATACAGTGGCGGGATCCAAAAAAAAAATATCTTCATCCGACAAACCGTCCTCCTCTACATCCAAGACATTAATAGGGTAAGCTTTTTAGAATTCCAATTTTAGGGTTTTTTTTTTTCAAAATTTGATTTTTTTTTTCTTGAATTCGATTTTTTTTTCAGAATTTGGATTTGGTTGATGCTAACAAACTTTGAATTTGACTTGTATTTCACCAATTACGGATTTTAGTGATAAGTTAGAGTTCTTTGCATGTATAGGGTTCATGATTTTTAGATTTTGGTATCTTTTTTAATTATGGCTCTTTATGAATTAGGGCTTTGCATGAACGTCATCATTTTAGATATGGGTAAATTTTATTATTTAATATACATATTTTTTAAAAACAATAGAATATAGTGGGTGTGGTTTTTGAAATGGAATGAGGAGTTCATTTATCTCAGTGGCACACCATTGATCCTGCTTTGTGGTTTAGCGAAAGTGATTGTTGTGGTTTTTGTTGGGACAAACTATGATTTGTTTATTATGTCGCCTTCTTGTATCTTCTTGTTGTTTGTATTTGTTCTCATTTTGAAATTTTTCTTTTGTTTAAAATTTTTGTGATCCGACACTGAACTTAGATCGAGATGTGCGCATTTGTATTTTAAAGATGTGATGGACATGATCCTTGTTATTCTATCTGACCCACACAAGCAGACTCTTCAAAGGAGCCCATTTTATTCTTTTTTTTCCTGAATATGCCTGATTTACCGATCACACATATGAGAGTCAAGGCATTAATAAGTACATATTGGACAAGCAGGATGCCTTTGTTGTTAGCAACAGTTTGTTTCTTAATTTTGATCTTGCTGAGTTTTGTATCACTATGGGGTTGAGACGGAGTGGTCAAAGTGTATATTTAGATCTTAATTTGCAGTGAAAGTTTAGTTTGATGGTTGGGGTCGGGTAGACATGAAGCTTTAGAAAAAGAAACATGATGTAGATTTGCTAAAATCTTGTGTACGCGTAGGCTTGGTTGTGTGAGCGTGTCCCTTCTCTTGGCAAGAGATCGACACTTGAGGCAATTCCCCGTATATTTCGATGAACGGGGAGCACCTTGCCTTCGACAGTGGAAGGGTGTTTGTTGTTCCATAAAAATGTGATGAGGCATAAGGTCATTTATACAGTTTTTATAGTATTATCTGTTTTTTTCTTATTTTTTATTGTTTTGTTTGGTTAACTGAAATTGTACTTAAATCATTATGATTTGATTTTCAAGTGTATGTTGTATTGTCGGTGTTGATGAGCATCTTCTTGCCGAAACCCAGGCTTTTCCTTTAATTTTGGTCGAGACTAAATGTTTTAGCATTAATAGATTTCCATAGGTACATAGATCCTTTAATTTATGTTTTTCCTTTAAATTTTTGTTTTTTCTTTCATGTACAGGGAACGTTTGAGAACCATATGCTGGCCATGG